CGGCATACAAGCAGATCGGCGGGGTCGCCATGGGCAGCCCATTGGGACCGGTTTTGGCAGCTATCTTTCTTGGCTTTATTGAAAGACAAGTTGCTGCCAGTATTGGTGAGGCGAAACTGTACAAACGGTATGTGGATGACATATTGGTATACAGCAGCAGCGAACATTTTGTGGAACTGTTAACTACTTTGGATTCAATTCACCGCAACTTATCTGTGTCCCACGAGATAGAACAACATGGCTGCCTGCCATTTTTGGATACTCAAGCGACGGGATGGAGGTACACTGCAGCGCACCGTTTACCGCCAGGCGACCTGGAGTGAGCAGTACCTTGACATTTCCAGTTTCGCCCCGGTTGCATTCAAACGCGGCCCAGTGAAAACACTCTTCCACAGGGCTAGATGAATTTGTGGTCCGGAATTGTTAGACGCTGAAGAAAAGTTTCTGTAAAAGACCTTAGTATCGAATAGTTATCCAAGTGCACAGCAGACCCTCCAATAAGAAACTGCCGGTGCAAACGGCAGAGAAAATAGCTGTTTATTTGGTTCTGCTGTTCAATGGAGACCATGGGATAAATACTATCGGACGCCAGCTCACGTCCGCCCTAAATTGCACATACACAACTGCCCAGTTGCGCCTCATGCACACTACCCGGAAACTGGTTCTTCAAGACCGTCAGAGCTACCCTTCGGCTAGTTCGGCCTCTCATGTGGTGTATCAGTTCACCTGCAGTTGCCGTGATGTCTACCTAGGCAAGACTAACTCGGTTGGCTCAGAGGGTGGCTGAGCACTTGTCAAAGTGGGTCGAACAAATGATGGCGCAACAAAACGGAAAGCCCCACAGAACGAATCGGAGTCCATCATCATCTATCGCCAAACACGTCTTGACAACTGGTCACCATGTGAACCCGAATAATGCGTTCAAACTGTTGTCACGTAACAGGAACCTGATAATGTTGGTAATCAGTGATGCGTTGCTAATTAGCGCTCATCAACCTGTGTTATGCGCACAGAAACTGTTGAGGCAATCAATCAGATTGCCTTGGTCTTGATTTTAACAGTTTAATTGGTGTGCCAATTTTTTCCCATGTATATATTTGTGTCTGTGTTTCTGCTTGTATTGTGTTTTCGACTGATGAGAACAATCGAAATGTTGACATTAACGTTTTGATTCGTCCTCGGAGAACGAATCAAAAGGTTAACTACCAACCCGAGCTATAGGTATTCCGAGTCATTGAAATGTGAGCATGTCGCAATCTATGTCTTCTTTCTGCTTTGATGAAGTGGATGAAGGGGACCAAATGTAATACGTATCAGTCATTTGACGCATATGACGGTTGTAGACTCGTGATGGTCAACCACAACAGTTTTCACGTAATGAGTAAGCAAATCCTCCTATAGCAATAATAATAATAATGAAGTAATAATAAATTGTTATTACTGGTGTTATTATTACTATAAGAGAATATGTAATCATGAAGTGAAAACTTGTGACTGACCATCACGAGGCTACAACTGCCAGAGCAGAAAATTGATTGAGCCACGACGACCGATGTAATGTGAATACAAGGAACATTTGTCTTGGCGGACCTGCCTCTTCCGAGTTTGCCGATTGCGCTCATGACGTCATATGTACCTTATGTATCTTTAACCTATCCGCTTTCACTATGGTTTGCATTCGTCTCAAACCCAATTTTCACAACTGTAGATTATTCTGAGTTTGTTAAGTATAGTCAAATCTGTCTAAGGGGACCAGTGAAGGGACCAACAAAAAGTGGTCGCCTTGGACAGGCGATCACCATGGACAGATTCATGCATAGGGACACTACTCAGAGGAGCAAACGTTGGGGTGTATTTGGCTGGTTGGACTGTATATCCTGCTTCCATCTTGACTCCCCAATGGACAATAAGCAATGATTTCTAACGAACAAACAATGATTGCTTGACAAGTTCCGTAAGATGACCGGAGTGGGGATTAGAAAATGACAAATGAGAGAGGACATCTTTTGCCCCACCTCTTCGGAGGAGAAATATGACGCCCTCAGAGAGGTTAGTACTAAGCTGGCTACGCCTTTAAATAAGGTCCGCTTACAGGAACTGTTTGAGGACCCGGAGTTAGCTGATATGCTACCCACAAAGTTGTCACGAAAAATGCAACAATTTACTGGCTTGTCTGACATGGATACTGCACCCCTTCGTGACCTATGGATGCAACGTCAACAGGACAATACACAGGCGATCCCCTCAGAAACAGGCTCGTTAACCAATTCCGGCAATAGCAGAGCAGGCGGACAACGTCGTCGGAAGGCACCAGTGATTGAATGAAGCAACAAGAACGCACCTCACTTAACATCGTAACAAATCGTAACATCGTAGCAAATTATCGCCCGATAACACTCCTTCCTGTGGTCTCCAAGGTTTTGGAGTCCATTGTAGCTGAGGCTTTAATGGGGTACCTGGAGAACAGCCAAATTCTCGTTCCGGAACAGCATGGATTTCGCAGAAATCGTTCCTGTACAACTAATCTCTTGATTTCTCGTGCAAACTGGACGGAATCTGTGGACGCTGGTGTTGGAATCGACGCGACCTACTTGGATTTCTCAAAGGAATTCGACCGCATAGACCATCGCATTCTCCTCCACAAACTCCAGAAATATGGAATCGGCGATCCTGTTCTGGGCTGGATAGGAGACTTTCTCTTTCAACGTCACCTGAATGTAAGGGTTCGAAGCAACCTATCAGAATCCATCGAAGTTCAGTGCGGCGTACCTCAAGGCTCGATACTTGGACCTCACCTGTTCCTGGTCTTCATAAATGATCTCGCGAGTGTGCTCTCTTCTAACTGCTTGCTATTTGCTGATGACCTAAAGGTATGGCGCACTATAGCTGCAGTGGACGATCACACAGTGTTACAGTAGGACTTGAACAAAGCGTACACATGGTCCATCGACAACATGCTGCATTTCAACGTCACCAAGTGCAAGGTTCTCAGTATACGGCACAGCAGTTTGCACTGCTACCGGCTAGGATCACAAATTCTGCAGCGTTCTTCTCACGAGTACGATCTCGGCGTGATAGTTCAAGATGACCTCGGGTGTTCGAGGCAGACTGAAAAGGCAGCTAAGAAAGCAAACCAGTACCTCGGCCTTCTTCGTAGAGCCTTCGGGATGTTGACCCTTCGATCTTTCCAAAATTGTTTAGCGTGTATGTGAGGCCGCACGCGGAATACGCTATCTAAGCGTGGCAACCCTGGCTCAAGCACCATCTCACCGCGCTCGATACTGCACAACGTAGGGCAAACGAAGAGCGTCAGAGGTTTGACCTGCGTCCCCTACCCACTCAGGCTGAAGACCCTAATAATCTACAGTGGACGTTATCGGCGTCTAAGGGGCGATCTCATAATGGTGTACCTAATCCTGAGAGACCCCAACCACCCATGCCATTCCCTTCTAATACTCAGTCAAAACACCTCGCTAAGAGGTCACCAGTTTAAGTTAGTCACGCAGTACCGCCGCTTGGAATGTCGGCGAAACTATTTTTCCATTCGAGTGGCACAGCCTTGGAAGGCCCTCCCCGAACATGTAATTAATGCACCCACCCTATCCCTTTTCAAAAACGCCTTGACCATACCCTGTCACATTTACACTACCTGCTATAGCTCATGACCACTAGATGCTGGGACTAATGCACAACAGACAGGGATAGTGCCACATAACCCTACTCGAGAGCGCGTCACTCCAAACGCCTTGCACGAAATTTGATAAACGCTACTACTATAGACACTGTATTTCTGTATCCCGTAGACCGATGATAATCGCACACAAGTAAGCGTTGTCCTTGCTATCGTTTTTTTAAATTTTTCTCGCCTATGATGTGAGCAATAACCACACTCCTGTTGCTTTGTGTGCGTACATTCTCGTTTCGAACCCCCTTTATACGACAGTGCAGTTACATCTGTAAGCGCCCGAACTGACAACATTATCCCTTCGCTATCTTTTTTGTCACGCTATCCACCCTACGGGACATGTCAAGCACCTGCTTTTTTACCCGTCATAAATCATTGTTCATTGTTCATCCGTGCCAAGCGAACAGTCGACTCAGGCGCCGACACTTCATTGTCAACTTCGCATACTTATTCTGAACTTTTAGCAAGCCACAGGTCCAGATCGTCGCCCCATCACTTGAAGAGTCATGTAGGTGGTTGCTGCTTCTTACTTAGGCAAGTGTGGAAACCAAGTCGCTTCTCCGCTGCAAAGCAGGTATATGAATAGACAATCAGTCAACTTTCCGGCAACAGGGCTTGATAACCCTTATACTTTGGCCAGTGAGAGGGGCTTGTGAATTAGAGGTGAACACTTAGACGTTCAGAGCAAGCTATGGGACATACAAAGCCGTGAATTTGGGCGGCGGAAAAGCCGCAACCATTGTTTTGCTTGAGCAATCTTTGTGTGGAAGTCTTTCACTCCAATCCAACCTGACACATCAGGTCGGTAACATCACTCCACTAGGGTAAGACGGCCGGGTGGTAGTGCAGATGAGAGTTTGTCAGAAGAGTGTGCTCATCGCGAAGTATACACAAAAAAGCGTTGCGTATGATGGGTTAGTCCCACAGCATTGATCGGTTGGTCGGCGGCCATCTCTTTTTGATCCAAAACCAATTGTTATACCAGTGGGATGTGTACAGTATCGACCTAGCCGCAAACCACAACAGTGCAACCAGCATTTCAAAAACTATGGGCACCAATGCGCCGTATGCACCTCTAGCGCGCAATTGCGGGCGAAGTCCTTAAAGTAGGGGTAACCTGTTCTAGCTGCATTAGATCCCTTCCATCCGTTATGTGCGTTAACCACTATAACAGCCTAACCCACCTATATTCCTTAACACCTCTATCATCCCCTATAATAAAAATCCCCTATTACCCTTACCAACCCTAATACCAATTCCATCAACACATCCCTCATATTACTTAATCCATCTACATTCAAACTATACAACACATCTACCCCCCCCCCCCCCCCCCCCTCCCCCCCCCCCCCCCTCCCCCACATCCCCCCCCCCCCCACCCCCCCCCCCCCCACCCCACCCCCCCACCTCCCCCTCCCTCCCCCCCCCCCCCCCCCCCCCCCCCCCCCCCCCCCCCCCTCACCCCCACCCCCCCCCCCCCCCCCCCCACCACCCCTTCTCCCCCCCACCCCCCCACCCCCCACCCCGCCCCCCCCCCCCTTACTTTTATATCTCCTTTTACCCCCCTTTTATTATTTTTTAGATATAATAAGTCAGCTTTACATCACTTCATCTTATAATACTCTCCCCCTTCATTCACCTCCACTACCACGCCCCACACCCCACACTTCACAACCCCCCCCCCCCCCCCCCCCCCCCCCCCTTCCCCCCCCCGCTCCCCGGACCCCCATACTATCCCCCCCCTCTCGTATCGGCCTATCCACCCCCCCCCCACAGTAAGCGTGTGTGTGCGCAGTGATACGACAAATATAAGCTTCGCCACGACCTGAAGGTTACATCAGACGCTTAGAAAGAACGAGCTCTCGCACGCCTCTTGTGGAAGAGCGCTCGGAGAGAGATGTGGTTCTGCCAAATAACCCCTAGTTGGGGTATGGGTGTCATAAAACAAATGTCACGCTTGTGACGACGAATAATCAACAAGCAGAACCCGAAATGCAGGATGGAGTAGTTGATAACCAGACACAATTTACGTGCGTAATTATAGAACTCCATCGCCACATGACTGCTCCCACAGATAATATAGCTCGGGGAGATATGAGGTCCAGTTGTAATCATTAGTACGCTCTCTGGATGTCGATTGAAGCCTTTCGATGATAACGTTGGTGCGCAGGCTGTTTTTGTACACCTAGGGCTTGTGCGCTTGGTCTCGCGTTCGCGTACGTTCGCTCGGATGGTCAGCTGATACTTCTCGGGCCCTGTCTGGAATCATGGCATCATAGTGCGTCATGTACTATCCTACACGTTAGCTGGTGGTGTGGGAACACCTTCAGCTGACTGTGCGCACAGATACACGAGAAGAATAGGAGGAAATAATAAAGGATTCAAACTGGGAGTAAGCCGGCTGAGCACACCGCGGTATACTGATGGGGATCGTTTCCGGTATATCGCTACCAAGCGCCTATATGGCATCAAAAAAACTATAACTCACGAATTTGTATAACTCCACTCCACCATTA